GAAAGAGTATCCCATCAGTTGGACTGGATTCTATTCATTAGAAGTCACTAAGGCAACCACACAGGAGAAAGGGTAAGTACCACAGGGACATACATACCAGGAGGGAGAGAGAGACCAAGAAACAAACTAACACAAAACTGATTCAATTAAGAAATTCCTTTCCAATTCCACTTTGCTGAGGTTTTTAATTTAAAGGGCTATTCAATTTTATCGGTAGTTTTTATATTGAAATGATCATGTACTCTTGTATTCTTTCTATTTTTCCTGTTGATCACTTACATTACTTGACTTGTAATCTTTATATCAAACTTTCAATCCTGTAATGAATTCAACTTTGTTATGGGATATATTACCATTTAATGTATCACTGTATTCTTTACCTCCTAATATTTTTCTAAGAATCTTTGTATCTATTGAAAACAAATAACCTGTGAGTTACTATTTTAGTTCTTCATTTTAGTCATGTTTTGATGTTAAGGTTTTGCAGATAAATACTGATGAATATCTTCATTTCTATATAGATTAAATAGACCTATTTTTTCTTCATCAGACTTGCTATGCTATTAATTTTATTAGTCTTAAAATGACTTGATTCTGTTGACTTTTGTACTATGTTTGTGCTATCCATATGATTTTTTTTTCTTTGTGTGGGTTAATTTTCCTTTTCAAAACTATTTCAGAATGGCACATAATTTTGGAGCCTTTTTTTCTTTTCTAATGTATATTTTAACATTCTAAAGTTCCCTATAAACACCATATTAATTGAGCCTTACTAAGTTTAAAAGTCATTTGTTTTTAAGTAATTATTAATTTGCTTTATAGTTACTTTTTGATCACAAGGGTGTTTTTTGGTACACATTGTTTAATTTCCAAACCATTTAGATTCTCTAGTTTTATCTGATAATTTTAGATTAATTTTTACTATGGTCAAATAACATGTTCTGAATAATTTTTTTTATAAAATTATCCGAGGCTTACTTTGTGAACCATCGTGATCAAATTTGAAATGTGTGTCATGCATAATTCAAAATAATGTGTAGTTTATTATTAATTGCAGAGTTGGATATATGGCAATTAAACCAAATTAGTTAACTTTGCTGTGCAGATTTTCTATATAATTACTAATATTTTTTCCTAACTCAGTTACCTTTAAGAGTTGTTTTAAAATCTCCCACTGTGAATATTTATTTATTTCTGCTTTTAGAAATTCAGTTTTGCTTAACATCTATGAACCCACCTTTTTGGATGTGTAAGGTCTGAATTGTGTGTGCCTATAAAATTTCTGTGGTTAGTCCATAAGATTGATGACCTTATCAGATTAAAGATAGAAATATATAGAGAGATCTGTATTTCTCTTTGTTTGTACACAACAAAATTAGGCCTTGCATTTTATATATAAATATTATATAAATATATATAATATATTATATGAATATTACGTATTATATGAATATTACATATTATATGAATATTACATACATTAATGTTACAATATATGAATATGCTAGAAATACTAATATTATATAGATTACATAATGTATAATGGTATATAATATATGCTATAAATGCTATATGTTATATTAAATTATACATCTATATATTTAACTAGATAGATACTATGTAGATTATTGATAGAAATCTGTAAAAGTAATTAATATGTATTTTTTACATATCCCAGCTCCCCACAAGGAGTGTAAACATTTTGTACTAAAACATGTACTAAAAAAAGAGGAATCTTTACTATATTTCTACTATATTGTTTAGGTGTTCACTCCCCTTTTTTACTCTCTTTTAAAAAATTATATGATCATATTTCATTTGTTTTATTATTAAGTGATTGCAATATAAAATTAAACATAGCTACTAAACTTGTTAGTCTAATGTAAATTATTACTTTACATAATTCTTCACAAATGTTAGGATCTTTCCATTGTTTTGTTTTCATGCATCATGATTTTACATATATGTAATTTTACATACATTAGACATTTAAATAAACAACCTTAAAAACTATGTGGGACACAACTCCAGCTGACTGAATCTGGAACAATGTTTTCTGCGCAAGTGAGACAGCCATACCTCTGAAGACGGTGTAAACAAAACCCAGACCCTAAGAAGCCCAGCGGAATGCGGCGGGAGGCAGGGCCAAATGGAGGTGAGCAGTGAGGGAGTGGCCAACCATAAACTACTGACTGAGGTAGCGGACTGCAGAAAAATTGGCTTATGAATAAAAATTAGACTGTGATATAAAATTAAATCCAGGTAATCATGCAAAAGATAATACATGCTATTTAGTTTTTTTTTAAAAAAAACCGCATTCATTTCCTAAAGTCTGCTGCCAATTAATTTGCTGACAATGTCTGCAGGCTCAATTATTTTTATATGAGGATGAGTATTAAACAGTAAACTGTACATGGTTTTTCATCTACAAAAAATATTTGCATAAATAGTGTTAGATATCTGTACATTTCAATGGCACTTTAATTGTGTGTATAAAAAAGGAAAATACTGAGCCCCACTGGAGTCAGAAAAGGCAAAGCAAAATCTAGAGTATGAAACCTCCATCACCAGCCAATATGTTCATGTGAAAATTCAGCAGTAATAGACAATTGCTTTAAACAAAAAAAAATTAAGTTAGATATTTTCTTCATGGAGAGCTTTCAGTCAAGACCAAAACATATCGCTAAAAGTTAGTGCTAATAGACCGTGCTACAGACCCAGATCACCATTATACTAATCATTGTTTTGTGCTGCCACTCACTACCCATGCAGTTACTCTTCCTTCATGCTGTGCTTCCTTCTACAATAATTCATTCGGTAGTACTTACGTAAGTGCAGGCATGCTCCAACTTTATTTTTCCCTTACTTCTTTATTTTTCCTCTGAGTTTTCATATACCAACACAGAAATGTAACTTTCCTCAGTTTTTCATTGTTTGAAAGCATTTTTATTTTGTTTTTCATTTAGAATGAAAGTTTTGCTACATACAGAACAGATAGCACTTTGTTTTCAATGGATGTGAACAATATTTTTCTGGTTTTGCTGATTTTCATCAATTCTATAAGGAATCACCCACTTGGTGATATGTTATTCCTATAATTGTATTGTGTTGCTTTTTATAGCTGCTAGTTAAAATTTGTCTTTGTTTTTAACTTACTTTGCCATAGTGAGCCTAAATGTATATTTTTTGCATATATCTTACTTGCATATCCAGAATTTATTGCTTGATGTCAGTATTCGGTTTTGAGCAACTTTCATCAATTTTTTTCAGAGGTTGCTTTTTTATCCTCTTCTTACTTTGAGCAAAGTCTAAGGGAACTGACCCTGTATAATTGCTTTTACTTCAGACACAAGCTTGGGAAAACACTGGACGCCCTCACAATTCAGCTAACTAAATGTTTGGAGTACCATGTCCCCTCAAGCTCAGTAACTCATTTGAATGACTCAAACAACTCTGGAAAGTGGTATAGTAACAACTATGGGTTTTAGATTAATAAAAGGATGCAAGTTAAAATCAGTCAAGGTAAAGAACCAGTAAGGAAGAATATGGGAGGTCTAAATGTGTAGTTTCTAGCATTCTCCATGTATGCATTCTTAGATAATATTGCTTTTCCAGTTCCCTCTGTGTGGCAATATATACATAATATCGCCACACTCTGAGGCTCTTCCAAGCTTTTGATGTCTAGAGTTTTTATTAAACCTTATCACATATCATCTATGTTGTTGATCTTCAGTCATCAGACTTTTCTGGAGGTTCAAGATAATAACTTTAGATTTCAAGTCCAAAGAAGGTTGAAACTGATACATTTTGTCCCACCCTATAGTAAATCCCATTGTTAGAATCATTAGACTGTCTGGTGTGCAAAGTGCCCAGATAGAAAAGAGGACTATGTGGCATTCTTATTCTAGAGGCTTAGAGGGCACTGCCCAGCAGCAGAGGTAAAGACCAGACCTCTCTTCAACTAACTTGATTCTTCACTACACATCATGTAATTTAACTTCCTATGGAAATAGCTACTGTATCAAAACAATTAAATGTTTTCATTTCTCTTTGTTTTACAAATGACCAAAGCAAGACATACATTAGCACCATAGCAAGGATACACTTGCTTGCAGACTGTTTTATTAAAACCTGGATGCCAAGATGTTGTATCTCCTAAAGCATGTATTGTAAAGAACGTTTCAGTCCCCACAGTTAAAGAATAGCCATTTCTTGCTAAAGTACTTTAAAACTTGTATACATTTATTTTCATATTTATCTCACAATTGTGTCAGTCTAATAAAGCACTCTTTTTGGAGTTTTAATTTCTAGGTGGGAAATAACCACATGCAGGAGATTAAGATCAGAGCAGAAGCATAAATCCATAAAAGCTGTTGGTGTATTTGTAGTTATTTTCCCCTTGGTCCCAAATACAAATATGCTAACTCTGAAAGACAGCTTGAGAGCTTCCTTAAAAAGTGTCTGTATTTTTGTTTTCAAATTGATTTTTCTATATCTGTGGAACATGGAAGGCTAGAGAACTCCTTAGATAAAAGTATAGAATACTAAATGGAATTTCTAAAATTATTTGATTTTCTTATTTAAATTTCACTGAAAAATTATTTGCTTATCTTCTTATATTTTAAAGATAGAGAGGCTAATATTTCTTTGCAAAAGGCTTACTTTGTGTCACAATGACACTTTTTGTTTTAGGACCAACATACAGTTAGTGAGGTTCACATTGTTTACATTGCCTCTTCTGGTCTTCTGCAAACACCCAAATTCCATAGGTGGCAAAAGCCTTCTATTTAATCTGTTTTGTTTAGAATATCCAGCTCAGAATCTTTGATCCTCTTAGAAACCCTGATCAATTTTGTAGCCCTACATCATGAAAGAAAAGAAGAGAGGGAGGGAAGGGAGAGAGAGAGAGAGAGAGAGAGAGAGAGAGAGAGAGAGAGAGAAGGGAGGGGACGGTGGGAGTGGAGGGAGGATTTAAGAACCCAGAGAGTATAAACTGATACCTCAGAGTTATGGCTTTGAATATTTGCTTGAAGTCTCAATTACCGCTTAACACTGGGAAAATTATTCCATCATTGATTCATCAGATAATTAAATACTCATAGACTTCATGTGGTAGTCACTGTATTAGACAACAGGAATATAAAGAAGACCCTACAATCACATTTGCTGTCACTTGAAGCTCATACGGTACTCTTGTATCAACATTTTGAGCAAATTTCTTAATTTTTTAAAATTAATTTTATTGGTACATTTAAGGTATACAATATAATGACATTTATCATTGAGAATTTGCACCTTTACATAAGCCAGCTTGGTTCTTATTTTTTCCTAATTCCCCTGCCCTCCCTTCAACCTCTCCACCTCTCCCTATCTGCAAAGACATTGTTTCCAGTTTTTCTTTTTCTCATATTAATTCCATTCCCTTCTTTCTTTTCCCCTACAGCTCTCACTTCCCCTTCCCCTTTGCACTTTTTCTTCCTATATCACATTATCCTTTTAGTCCTTGTTTCTCACATCAGAGAAACTATTTGATATTTACACATATGTGTCCTATTTATATCACTTAAGAGTATGGCCTCAATGTGCATCAATTTAGCTATAAATGTCTAGTTTTTTGTACGTTATGGCTGAGTAATACTCCATTTTATTAAAAAAAAACACATTTTCTTTATCCAGTCTCCAGTTGATGGGCAATTCGGCTGTTTCCAAGTTTTAGCTATTATGACTTGTGCTGCTATGAACATGGGTGCACATATATCACTGTGGTATGATTCTTTTAATTCTTTGTGGAAGATCCCCAGCAGTGAATTAGTGGGGTCAAATGGGACTTCCAGTCCTAGTTCTTTGAGGTATCTCCATACTGATTTCCACAGTGGTTGCACCAGTCTACACTTCCACCAGCAGCAGAGCAGGGTTCCGCTTTCCCCAAAGCCAGGCCAGCATTTGTTATTGGTAGATTTCATGATAGCAGCCATTCTTTCTGGGGTGAGGTGGAATGACCAATGATGTTGAACATTTTTTCATAAGTTTCTTTGCTATTTCTAATTCTTTGTCTGAGAAGTGTCTGTTCATTTTAGATGCCCATTATTGTATTGGGTCTTTAAATTTGGGAGGTGTTATTTTTTAAAGTTCTTTATAGATTCTAGATAGTAGACCTTTGTCTGAGGGACCAATGGTGAAAATTTTTTCCCACATTGTTGGTTGTCTCTTCACACTG